TTACCTCTATAAAAATCCATACTGGGTGTTGACCACAGACCAGCAGCATCAGCATAACCTGGGTGCTTGTTAGAAATGCAGAATCTCAGCCTCCATCCCCGAACTACTGAAACAGAATCTTTATCTTAACAAGATCCCCAGGTGATTTCTGTTCACGTTAAAGTCTGAGAAGCTCTGCTATAGCTCACTTAAACAATTGAGCTTCATTTTCCTGCTCTGCAAAATGGAGACAATCAGATCTACTCCAGAATGTCATATGAAAAATTGCTAGGATATCATATGTGATACATTTGGCATGGTGCTGGGCCATAGAATAGGGACTCAAAAATAATTGTTTCCTTCCTTTTTCTTAGCATCACTTGCTTCTGAATAATAAAATTATATAATCTTGCTTTCTTTGATGTCTTTTTTCTGGACCCTATACACCAGAAGTGTTTTGACCTCTACAATCTTCCTTTTGCTTTTTTAAATCTTAGAATTATATTTTTAAAAACCCACAAAATCTATGAGATACATGGGACCCAAGTGATCTCCTGTTTTCTTCCATTTTGAAGGCAGAAATGCCATTCTTTAAGTCCCAGGCTTACTCAGTCTTTATGTTCTCACTTAAGTGTCGGGTATCAAGGACAATCCAGGTACTCCACAGATATTTGCTGGTTGCTGGATGAGTAAATGACTGAGACGTCTGTGAACTCTGGCCCATTCTGCTCTTTGTCTAAATCTCACTACACTTGTTTTCTTTATGACTCATTCTGTTCTTTCATTCTTCCATTAAAAAAACAAAAAGGTATGTCTCATACTTCTCCTTGACTACTCAGTCTTACCTACCCAAGACACCTAAGAAAAAAAATATATCTATGTATATTTAAATTCATGTATATGAATTCTTATAAATATGTTTCTATTTTAAGATTAAATACTTGAAGTTTATACATTGTCAACCAACTAGACTGTAAGTTCCCTGAAGGAAAGAAGAATAAGACCATGACATTCCCTTCTTGGAATATCGGTGCTTATGAAAGTATCTGTTTCTCAGTAAATGTTGGGTATTGGTGCTGATCAATGCTGAAGAGTACAAGTGAGCATTGTTACTAAACTACTGAGAGCCAAAGATCTTATGCTGCATTCCACCATTTCAGAAAGGACACAGACAATTAGGTGGGAAAATGAAGGCAAAGTTTTATTGGGATCCTGTGTATTCCTCAAGGCAGATCAGTAGCCTTTTTCCTAAGGAAATGCCTGGCATCCTTCACATAAGAGGTTCCCCCAATAACCAAACTCTCCACTCAAAGTGTTATATTTACACAGCTCATCAGGAAAATTTTTATACTTCTGACAATCCTTAGACTCGTAATTGTCCACCAAAGCTACTCTATAACAAGAGATAAGCACTCCATTTCAGAGGATGAATAATAAATAGGTACTGCTTGGCACTGTGCTCTTTACACGTCTACTTCTAGAGTATAATTAATCCTGCTGAAGCTGCATAAGATAAGTGAAATATTTATGCAGCTGTGTTAATTCATGTATTTACTCTTAGAGAGACACTCAGAATTGGACATGGCTTTCTGGAAAGATTATGTTAAGACACCCCATGGAGCAATGTCATTTTTTCTCCCATGTCTGTACCTCCAGATGGCCTCTAAAATGAGGCTAAAATACGTTTCCCAACCCAGAAAGCCTGAGCGGGAAAGCAATGAGCCAGAACAGAAAATATCTATAAGTACCTAGAAGTTCTGTAAGTACAAGGAACAAACCTCTGGTCTATCTGGATGCTTCAACTTTTTATTTTTTGTTTGCCACAAAGAGGACTTTTTCTGTTTAGCACTACAAAAGTTGTTTTCATGATTCTAACTAGACTATATAATTGTCAATACAATATTAAATAAGCTGTGTTGGATACTAGAGTTGTGCATGAACAAGGATGGTGATGATGAAGAGGAAGAAGAGGAGGAGGAGATAATGGTGGTGATGGAGGTGATATGGTGGTGATGATGGTGATGGAGGTGGTGATGATGGTTGTAATGATGGTGATGGAGGTGACAATGATAGTGGTGATGATGGTAACGGAGGTGGTGACTATGATGGTGGTGGTGATGATGATGGTGCTGATGACAATGATGATGATGATGGTGGTGATGATGATGGTGACAAAGGTGCCGGTGATGATGGCAATGGTGATGATGAAGGTGGTGGTAATGAGGATGAAAATGAGGATGATGGTGATGGTGATGATGATAGCGGTGGTAGTGACAATAATGGTGATGATGATGGTGACAGCTAACACTTATTGAACCATTTCTATGTTCCAGGTGCTGTGCTAAGCTAAGTGCTTTACATATATTCTCCCATTTCATCTTCACACCATCTTCATCAGGTAATTATTTCTATACCCATTCACAGATGAGTAAACTGAGGCTAAGAAAGGTCACCTCATTCACAGAAGTATTTGTAAATGGGACGATAGATTTAGTTCAGATGTGCACTAAATTATTCCTTCCTAAAGGACCTATAAATCTCAAGAGTCACCTTTCATAGACATTGTAGAGATTTAAATGAAACAGGATTCTTGCCTAAATGACCGCCTTTCAGTGTAATTCCCCTGACGGAAAGGCTTTGCTACTTACTACTTAGGGACTCACAATCCCTCTGAGCCTCAGTTTCCTCCTCTGTAAAATAGGGATAAGCAATACTAACCTCACTAGTGCGTTATGAAGATTAAATTAAGGAAAACATATCCTGCATCCAGCATGGTGACTGACATATCCTAGTTCCTGAATATGTTAACTGTTTCATAATAGACATTACAAGAGTGACGACAGTGGTGGGTAGGGCTAGAACTCACTTATCTTCCAGGTACCCATCACATTTAAAAGTTCTCCGTCAGGTGAAATGCATCCTGACACAAAAATTCATCCATACATGTAATTATCCATTCAATCCTTCATTGACCCTTCACCCATTATATTCAAGGTTTTGTGGTATTTACAAGTGGAAACAAGACCCCTGTTCGCTGAGTCGTTCAACCAATGTAGGGGTGCTTAGCTATCCTTTTGGTAGACAGAACAATTGTCCCCAATTCTTCAGTGTCCCCTCGGTGTCCACACCTCTTGCCACAAAATTCCAAAACTCCTCCCATAAAAGGTGGAGTTTATCTCCAATTCCTTGATCATGAACTTGGCTATCTGACTTGCTTTGGACAGAAGGATGTTAGCAGTCATCAATGTGATGAAGCAGAGACTTGAAATGTGCATGAGTAGTCAGGTGTTCCTTTTTATGCCTATGACATAGCCAAGAAAGGAGTTTCCCCTGGGTAGTTGCTGCCCTTTCAGCCTGAGACCCAGAATAAACATGCCTGGAGGAGACCACACAGTTGACTCACGGGCTTGCAGCGGAGAGTAGAGCCATAATACCCAGCCTGAGGCAGAGCTTCTCCACTCAACCTGCACTCCCATGAGCAAAATAAGTGCTTATTGTCATATGCTTCTAACATTTCACAGCAACAGTTGACCAACACAGCCATAAATCACTATTACACAGCAGAGAACATAGCCAGTGATCTGAGGAAGGTACAAATGCCCTGTTGGGAATTCAGAGAATCCAGTGTTCTTATTTGGGAGTTAAATATAAAACACATTTAGAGTGCTTGATGGCACTTTGAGAATCTAGGGTTTAGTTCTGGGAGTAGAGAGTGGAGAAGAAGCTACAAGGAATTACACACCCTTATTCAAATCCACACCAATGCTATGCACTAACCTCTGCCTATTCTGACATTGCATTTCATTGTAATGGTTGCTAGATTTTCCTCTCCCAACTCTAAACAGTTATAGCATATGAGGATTCTGTAATCATCTCTGAATAGAGCCTCCACCTGTTATCAAATGTGGCTTCTGCCCTATGCTCTGAGCTTTCGTATCCTACTCACACTGAGCAAGTTTTAGGTGTTAACCTGCTGTCTGTGCTGACTTTGTGTTTCCTATTTCCTCAGTGTTAGCAATTCAGAAGAAAACCAACCTTCCATTTGAGCCATGGCAGGACTCTAAAAGTCGTGTCAGGGAGCGCTGAGCTGTAATGAAATCACCAGCTATGAAATAAGGAAGGGCAGACATTCCTCCATAGGATAAGAACATGAGCTGCCATGTTCGTACAACATGAATCCACCTCTAGTCATTCCTGATAAAGGGTCTTTGACCCAAAAGCCATCAGGAATCCTTCCTTTGGAATTTGAAATCTAGAATTTAGAGAATACAGATTGGAACCTATTGTACCGTAGTTATATAATGCTCCAGAGCAGGGTCACTCAACCTTAGACTGCCGATATTTGTGGTCTGATAATTCTGTTTTATAGTGTGGAGAACAGTCCTGGGTATTGTAAGATGTTTTCCAGCATCCTCCATCCCTTTCCTCTCCCCATTAGATGCCAGTAGCAAGCAGCATCCCAGTCGTGACCATTTCATATATCTCCAGACATTGCCAAATGTCACCTGGGATATGAAGTTGCCCCTCCCCCATAGAGAATCACTGCTCTAGAGAGAGGGGCTATGAATTCCCACTAAGCTGACCTAAGTGGCCAGTGCTTTTTTTTTGGTGGCTGGCTGGTATGGGAGTTGAACCCTGGACCATGTTGGACTGTGGCACATATCCTGGACCTTGGTGTTAGCAGCACCAGGCTCAAACCAACTGTGAATTCATACCGTTAAGGCACCAGGACTGCCCTGATTCCTGATTTTCTCTGAAACTATTTGTTCAACTCTTTCCTAAATTCACTGAGAGAGATGCTTCTGTATCCCTAAAATAACTTCCTTTTTAAAATTTAGTTATCTAGAATTGGTTTCCATTAGAAGCAACCTAAAGAACCATGGTATCGTGTGATAGGCACTCAGTACGTAATTTTAGTAAGCAAACTTATCATACAAAGATCCACTGGAGAGCTAATTAGGAAACAGAAAGAGTGCAAGGGTCTCAAGTCCCCCAGGATAGGGGGTTGCCCAACATCTTACCATCACCAACAAACTGAAGCAGGGCCAGATCAATCTGCCTCTTCCAAGGAGAGCCCTTCTGGAGAGCAATTCCATAACCAGTGGTGGCAAAGATGTACCCACTCCCTATGGTCACAAGCTTGCAGCCTTCATCTCTCCCAGCCTTGTAATTCAAGACCGCTGCATCATAGATGAAAGCGTCCAGCTTCCTGAAATGACAAGAAACAAGGGAGTCATGGGGGCGGCTGGCACCATCTCAGGGCCTGGCTCCTGAGGCCTGATCCAGCATCATACACCTTCTTTCATGCTGGAAATGATGACTCATGGCCGCTCCTCATCATAAAAGGTTCTATTTTTAATGAGGAGATAAAAGCCAGAACCTTTTCTCTCCAGCTTACAAGAGGCAGCTAAATAAAGACATGAAGAATCCATATACCCAAGTGAGTAAACAGTCGAGGTTGCTGGTTTGCTAAGTGTTTGTCTTTAACACTCCTGGCAGTGGAGAACAGCGGCCTATTTAGAAAAGTTTGCATCGGAACAAAATAAATCATTAAGGGACAGGAGAATGTGAATGGTAATGTTCAGAGGAGCATAGGGACTGAGTAGGAATGATGTCTTTTCCTCCCAAAAGAAATATGTTTACTGTTTATTTATATCACAAAAATTATTGCATAATATTTTTTAAAACAACCCAAATAATATAAAAAAGTATTAAGAATACAATTAAAATTAAAATTACCCATAATTCCATAACTCAGAGGCAACCTATGTTAACATATTGGTCAATAGTCTTCCAAATTTTTTATGCATATGCACACACACACACATGCACACACAACAGGGCTTGGCAAACTTTTACTGTAAAGATAAGGTAATAAATAGTTTAGGCTTTGTAGACCATACAGTCTCTGTTGCAACTACTCAACTCTGCCATTGTGGGGTGCTGTGGACTGAATTGTGCCTCTGCTGTTCATATGATGAAGTCCTAACCCCCAATACCTCAGAATGGACCCCATTTGGAGATAGTGTTGTTGCAGTTTTAATTAGTTAAGATGAGGTCATACTGGAGAAAGATGGGCTTCTAATCCACTATGACTGGCATCCTTACAAAAAGGGGAAATTTGGACACAGTCATGCACACAGGGGAAAACACTATGTGAAGATTGGAGTTATGCAGCCACAAGCTTAGAAACTACCAGAAGCTAGGAGAAGCCTGAAACAGAACCTTCCCCAGCACCTTCAGAGGGACATGGCCCTGCTGACACCTTGATCTTGGACTCCCAGCCTCCAGAACTATGATACAGTAAATTTCCACTGTTCATGTCACTCAGTTTGTGGTACTTTGCTATGGAAGCCCTAGCAAACTAATATACAGCGCCAAAGCAGCCATAGATAATACGTAAATGAATGAACTCAGCTCTATTCTAATAAAAGTTTATTTACTGAAACAGATTGGGCCGTAGTCTGCCAACCGTTGTTTTAATCCCCCAAATGTGATTATGCCATACCAACTATTTCACAAATTGCTTTCGTTTCTCATTTCACACAGTGAACGCATTTCCATGTCAATAAACATAGCACTTTTAAAAATTTTTTGATATATTTATTTTTATTGCAGTATAACCTATATACAATAAAGAGCTTGATAAAGTTTTACATTCATATATATGTCCTTGAAATCACCACACAGTTCAAGATTCGGAACATTATCATCACCTCAGAAGTCCTATGTACACCCACTTAGTCAGTACCCCCAAAAGACAAGCATCCAGTAATCTTTTCAATGGCATGGCTGTACCTAATCACTACCTAGGTCCATATTTCTGGTCATGCATATTATTTCTAAATTTAAGAGTTATTTAAACAAGGCTGAAATGGTCACTCTCAAACACAGGGATGGATGTCTCAACTCTGAAACAGGTAGGAAATCTAAATCAGGAGATTACTCAACTTCCTGATACTTTCTCAACTTTATTACTTTTCTTTCTTTTTATGTTTTCTACAAGAAAACATAAAATAATGAAGCAAAGAAAAATAAAAGTTGCAGGGAAAGGATGTGCAATGTTGCATCCTTTCAGGGACAGCTGCTGAAGGACTCCCTATGGGAACAAAACTATATGGAAGGTTTACAGCCATGTTCTTCATTTTAATTTTTTTCTTTGTTTCTGTAATGGTTAGAGATGGGACAAAACCACAGGGCTTGTCTCACTCATAGAAAGACTCTGAAGCTTTTATCTGAACTGCCAGATTTTTTGACAGTTCAAAGACTTGGTTTTAAGCTCTGAGAGTATTAAAAGGGGATCAGATTGCCCAAGCAGAAGCAGCAGAAGAAAACTGGGCATTGTCAATGTTGTGGGCAATCCACAGCTGAGAAACCAAGAGGAAACAGCCTTTCTGGACAGCCAGCAATACGGAGACCTATGCAAAAGTGGGATGGAAGGTTATAAAAGGTTGAAAGCAATTCATGTATGATGGCAGTAGGGTGTGAGGCAGGAGCACTGGAATAGTAGGTAGAACGGATCTGAGTCTGGTCTAGGCTTGGATGATGGCATGACGTCAGGAAAGTCACTTCCTCCTTTTGGATTGCTGGTTCTGCATCTATGAGAGGAGGTGGTCATGATGGTCCTCCTGAGATACTTGTCTAACTGTGGCATTCTATGATTCTTAAGCCAACAGCAACATTATTTGACTATCAACAGGGAAATTGAGACTCTGGATAACACATGTATCCAAAGATTTCAAGGCATGGATAGCACTAGTCCTCTTGATGAAGCTGAGATGCTTGCAACGTCAATAGCCAACATATCCAAGTTGCCATGGAGATGCTGAGTGCCTTGGTTTTATTTTGACTTTCCAAGTCTCACACAAACTCTTGTCTCACAATTCCTCAATTTACATGTGTGCATGGGGACATTTAAACATTAAGGCCATCTGTTGGTATTTGTGGGGTAAAACCTTTTCCTATCCTGTGAATGCACCTCATGCTGATGAACTGCTGGAATGGAAACCTAAACATGTACCCAGCAGTCATGAAAGAGTTGTTTAACAGCAGTTTAAATTGGCATTTTACAGACAGGCACAGATTTCTGCAAATCAGTACCACATTTCATGACAAATCTTCTTGAGCTGAGCAACGAACAGCCAGATGAGTGCAAAGAAAAAAGGAAATTTGCTCAGGTAACAAAGTTTGCAAAAGCATGATGACATCAAGTCAGAGGCAAGATAATTGCAAAGGACATGGTTGATTCTGGCCAAAACAATGACATACTGGTGTGCCTGGGGTGGGCTGGTGGCATGCTGTCAGAGGGATATGGCCATTGAGGGCCACAATGAGCTAGCCTTTCATGGCCTGACTCTCCATGGTCTTGAGGCCATGTCAGAACCAAAGTGATGACATCACAGGAAGGAAATTGTGGAGCCACATGAGCCAGGTTTCTCTCATGGATGATTCTAGGTCACTGGGGTCTAAACACAACAGCCACAGATATCTGCAAGTTTAAAAACATCCTGAGGCTTATACACCCCACCCCCATAGAGATGGCCATTGTTTGCATGGTACTTTATAAAAGGATGCATAGCATTTTGCAAATACCATCCCATTGGGTGCCCAGTAGGGAGCTATTAATATAATTATTACTATTATTTTGTCTATGTAGAGACAATTTTCTGAAAGGCTAAGGCAGCCCCAGGCTCATCAGTGATATCTCCAAACTTTGTACTATGAAACCCTCTAGGACAACACCATCCAATAGAATTCTCTGCAAAGATGGAAACGCTTTGTATCTACACTGTTTAATATGGGTATGGACTGCTTGACATGTGGTTAGTGCCACTGAGCAACCGAGTTTTTAATTTTATTTAATTTTGTTCATTTGAATTTTAATATGAGTGGTCACAGGTGGCTGGTGGCTAGCATAGTGGACAGCACAGCCCCAGGCTTCCTGTGAGGGGCAAGGGGAAAGCTGCGGGAGCAGGATGGGTAAAGGGAGGCTGGGTTCCTCTCCTTGTTTGACTCACAATGGTCTACTTTTGATGTTTTCCACTGACAAAAAAAAAAATTGTTCCCTTGTTAAAAAGAAAAAAATTAAAAATTGCTGACACACTGGAAAGGGAGCTTTGTAGTCAGGAACTTTGGACAAGGCACCTGTACTTCTGAGCCTCAGGTTTCTCTTTGTAAAACGGAGCTGACAGTATTTGCCCTTAGAGGGCTGTGGGGAATAAAGTGATGTTATATAAGTGGAGTGTGTGTGCTGTGCTTGGCACATAGCAAATGCTCAGAATGCTTAAATGCATTCAATCGAATTCAGATTTTACGGCAAAGGGGTTCACAGATTTTATGCATCCCATGTGACATAAGCAGTCCTGAATACTTTATATGCGTTGTCTCATTTTACCTACGCCTTCTAAATGTGCAGGGATGGGCACACTACAGCTATCCCCATTGTCAGATAAGGAAACTAAGGCACTGAGCATTAAGGTGACTCAACACCATCACATAGGCTGTAAGTGTCAAAAGCAGAATTTGGACCTACTAAAGGCCACAGACATAACCACAAAGACCAAGCCATGTTATCTGTAAGACTTGTGGAGTGAAGGGAGATACCTCTGTCTATTACCCAGGAAATTCAGATTGGGGGTTTCAGGTATAAATCAAGTCGGATGTTATGAAAGGAGAGGCATGGGTGAAACCAGAGCAGCCAGAGTTTGGAGAGATTTGGTGGACTGCTCGGCTTCATCTGTCTCTTTGCCAACAGACACACAGCCATATAAGGGTCTGGAGTTATCTCCACAGAAAACTTCTCTTGCCCCCAGTATGCCCTACTCCATTCCTTTAGGAGACATTTAGGTATAAGTGACCACAGCTTCGTGTTAAGCATAGAGGGCAAGAAAGAGAAAAGAGCCACCTGAAACTGAAGTCCAATTTTGGACCAAAAGCATTCTGGGGATTTGAGCCATGATTGCTGGGGACAGAGTGATATATTAGGCAGCAGCTTAGTAGTTGGCAGCACTGGGTTTGGAACGACACAGACTAAAGACTGGCACTGGAGGGGCTATTACCCCAGAACTAAGAGCTGTCAGTTGAAAGCTTGAGGGCTCACAGGTAAGGCAAGCCAGTGACTCTTCTGTGCTCATAGTGGGCGTTTTCTTCTCCTGCTTTTCAAGAGGAAATCATTTTTGTGCCTGCCTTGCAAGCTCTCTCTGAGGTCAC